TAGCATCTATTTATTTAATTGTTGACATAAATCTACTACAGAGGAAATAATTCTACATGACTACATCAAAAAAAATTGTTATACTCTAACAAAAATGTTGTGTCAATTCTGTAAATAAGTGTTTCGATAAACTAAAAAGTAATTGCAGTTTTGTAATTATATTTTTTCCTAACAAGGATATTTTGGATATAGAAAACATTATAATAATTTTTTTTTGGGTTACTTAAATAAGAAATGAATAATTTTGGGTTATTATAGTTTTTTTCCAAAAAAAAAAAATATGTGTATACAGGGGCGGATGTACTTGAGCGAAGATGGGTGCAAGTACCCCCAATAAGTTTTTTACGATAAATACAATTTCTTTAAACCTTAAAATTATACCCGCATAGTAAAATCATTTTTTGCCCCCATTTCTTTTTGAACCACAAATCTTACCAGAAAATTTGAAATTTGTTTTCAAATCTTTAATGAATAACGTAAAACGTAATATCAAAAACTTAATAAATTTATCTTAAAAAATGCTCATTGGTATTTATCATCAAACTTTGTCAAACTGCATGTTTCTTTGTACTCAAATCAACGTAATATATTTTAGGTTATTATACAAAAAAGATTGATATATTTACTAAATTTGTTCAAAAAAATAGTGATGAAATATTTTAGGTTATGATTTACAGATTACAATAAAACATTGTTAGATTATTTTATACATCTTCTAAATTATATAGTTTTGTATTGTAATAAATTAACAATTTAATTTTTATATAAAATTATGTCCCTAGTTTAAAAATATTTCTGGATACGCCCATGTGGGTGTCAAAATTGGTCAATACCTACGGCTTACCCAAACCCGTCCATAATTTTAGCGGGTTTGGATTATATTTTTTTACCCATATAAGTAAACGGATTTTGGTGAATTATCGTAATAGGATTATGGGTTTAATAGGTAAACCCATTATGGTCGTGGGTAACCCACAGGTTTACCATAAAAAAAAATTAATATATATTAGATTATTGG